AAATGTGAGCAATCAGACTTTTTTGACGTTATTAATTGGTCGATGATGACATCAAGAACAAAGACCAATTGTAGAATCAGAATCAGAAAAACTTTATTGATCTCTGAAAGAAGGAATTTTTTTGTTCGATAAAACCTTGCATATAAAGATACTGTACATTAAAAGACATTCATCATAATAATCGATATCGTAAAATCAATGTTTGTAAAATGGATGTCTTTATTGTACATGAATGTGTAATATCTTTTCCTTTTTTGGATGTGAAAGTTGGTTTGTACTCCCGCTAGTATTGTATTAATACTAATTAATATTAGTAATATTGCCAAATATTCTTTCAATCTTTTTTTCAATTATAATTTATTTATAGTATTAATAAAAATGAGGATGATTGATGATGGTGATACAATAGGTATGGTTAGAATGATGATTACAGTCTTGTAAGCATTGTGCTTGTCACCAGTGAATTCAATCTATCAAACAATTGATCAATCAATTGTTACTTTATCAGCACCAAAATACATCACACAAATGGTGATGTTTGACGATGCTTACAAAAAATGCAAAAATGTATACATGCAAATTTTTCTTAGTAGTTTTAGTATTATTATTATTTTTTTTAATTATTCCTAAATGAACAAATTTTTTGTTTTGGATTAGCGTAATGTAATTTTGATTTAATTTTTATTATAAATTTTGTACCGTACGTAACATGTAGTAAGTTAATCAAGTTATTAATTACTTTAGTTTTGTATTTTATCATTGTTAAATAAATTTGTATATACTTGTATATGATAAGTCAAAATAACCTTGGCCTTCAAGTTTTTCCATTTGAAAATACAGTTATTATTATTTTTATTATTATTATTATAAACTCAGAGTACAAATACATGTTTTTTATGTTAATTTAATATTAAAATACTCAAATAAAGTATTTAAATTGTTTTGATCATTCTTTATGAATATTCATATAAAATTTACAAAAGAAAACATTTACAAAGACCAGGACGCAGTCTGACTTTACAGGCATACACAGGCAAAAAGTCAATTCAAATAGCATAAACTAGGAACAACACAAATCAAAAACATCACAGTAAAACATTAAAATTCAATTTATAAAAATTCAGATTAAAAAATTTATTCACAAATTAATTATTCAAAATTTAGACACTACAACTTAACCATTATTATTTTCAGTTCCAAGCGTGTGCTCTTTTATCAATGGCATTAACCTGTGACGCATTTGAACATTAAAATTCAATTTACGGGGAAAAAAAAAATAAAATAGATTTTGCATTTTCATTTACTCATTTACAAATTAATTATTCAAAATTTAGATTTTACAAACTTATTTACAAGATTAATTATTAAAAATTTAGATTTTACATTTTTATTTACAAATTGATTATTCAAAATTTAGGTTTTACAATTTTTATTTACAAGGTTATTCAAAATTTAGATTTCACAATTTTATTTTACCATTATTATTTTCTATTCCAAGCACATAATTCACATAAAATAATGATAATGTACATGTGGTTCTATGAATGCTGTTTTTTGTAGGGAAAGTGATGTTAAGAAACTGGTACAGTACCCAAATGACCTAAAATGATAATTAGAAATAATGGTACATTGGCCTTTTACCCCGGACTCCCAGCCAAATCTCATAACCTTGTTTTGAGCAGCCTGTAGTTGTTTTTGGATAGAAGTCAAACCATCTGAGTGCCAAGAAAAAATAGAATATTCAAACATGCACCTGACTGATAGAAAAATTAAGGTGAATAAATATAGCGATTTTTTCACTCTCATTATGAAAGAGAATACGTATTAAATGACCTAAAGTGTGATACCAATCCAGAAGAATAATGTTGAATATTTCGTTGTATCAACGACACATCAGCAACTGAGACAGGAGTAGGCAGGCAATGTATTACATACTGTGCTAATAATCTAACAGGTGCTGTAAAAGTATCGGAGAAAAAAAAAAGAAGAATAAATCAAGTAAAAAGTAGAGCGTCACTTAGCTCATTCTTACAGTTTATAGAGGGCTTGATGCGATTAATACATTGTGCTTCCAACACGCTTTGGGCGCTCTTCTGACGATGGTAACTAAGGTATCGGGGTCTTTCACGTCAGGATGAGATTCATTGTAGTGCGTGCTGAGCGCAGAGGTAGTGCTGCGTTTACGTGCCAAAGCGAGATGTTCAATCACCCTAAAGTGAAGCACCCTAATAGTGGAGGCAACATATTCTTGGTGACAAATCTGGCAATAAATCTTTATAAACCACAAAAGAGGATAAGCAGATGCTGTTTTTTTTTTTTAAGGACATCTGGCTAGAATACATTCAGGATTAGGCTTACTAGCTTTAATGAATTGAGGAATGGTGTATGGACGGGGTTTAACCACTCTAGCATTGATGTTATTACGCAGTGTGTTTATTCACAGTGTAAGTGGAAGGGTTCAACCAGTGGCGGGGATATCCATTGTTCATAAGCTTATGGTTTAAGATCCCAATCCCTTCGTCCTCATATTCTGCTATACATAATTTTCGAATTCTTTTATATTCATTGGCAACCACTGTTTTTTTAATAGAGAGGGAATGGCGCGATTTGTAATGCAGATGCTTTGTTGGCTGCTTTAGTGTAAAATTTGGTGGAAATCGATCCATCTGAATTGACCCTAAATTTAACATCGAGTATTGGTAGGAATCCATCTGCATCAAGTCATTCCATCTCAAACTTGATGGTTGGATATTGAGCATTAAGATGTTCGAGGAGGAGATGCACGTGGTCAGTGTCTTTAACAATAACCTCAGTGTCATCAACATATCTGATGTATACAATAGGTCTGGGTATGGGGCCCAAATATATAGAAAAATTAATGTAATTTTTTGTTTTTTATATCTAGTGCCTTTCCATTATACAGGTCTCCCTCTAATTAAGGACCCCTCCAATCAAAGACTGCTTGCCAATAAAAGACCACTTTCTGCGGTCCCAATTTAACAAATGTCTTTTATTATTATTATTCTAATTAGAGACCAAAGTTCCTACAGACCATGAAAACCCCTGTTTTTTTTGTCTCGTTTTCATTTATAATTGTAAATTGTTATTTTACATTTGTATTCCTTTTCAATTTTTCTCACTTATTTCACTTACTTCACTTATTTTATTTATTATTTAATTCATTTTCAGTAACAATATTAAAATAAAGTGTTACCAAAGTTAATTTGCAATATTAAATTTAATATTACAGTATAAGTATAAAATATTGCTGTATATGTTAGGTTGTTGTTAATATCAGATTCTTTTAACGTCACCGGTGATCTATGGGTTCATGGGTTATAAGATTCTTTAAACAACAACTGCGTGCAAATGTCATATGATATTTAATTACCATAATTGACTGCAGGTGAGTTAATGTTTATTGATAGCTGTACAAATCAGCATCTAATTACAGGTAGTCTTCCGTCTTATCCTTAGGTTTGGATTTTCTTTCAAGGAAAAACTTTTTGTCATTAACAGAAATCTTGAAGAATGAATGAGAAATTGATTTTAGGTGTTAAAAAAGAATAGAATTTAATACTATCAACAATGAAAATGATATTCAATATCTAATTGAAGACCATATTGGACCTGAACATTTGAGGTGGTCTCATGGTTCAGTCTTCACATAGAGGGTAAGCTTTGTGTTATTAGATTGGCAATTGCCATTTTGTTCTTTCAAAGATAGATCTTAAGATAGATAGGCTTCTGTTCGAAATAATACAGTACATACACTGTACATGAATTTCAAAAAACAAAATAAATTAAAAACAAGCTTGATTTATACAGTAGTTTATTTGATTTAATGCCAGTTAATAATACACTCCATGATTCAGATTGATGGTACAGTGGCCTGATTTATTGTCTTATATAGTACAAATTCCCAAAGTTTACAGCATTCATTTTTAAATGAAGCCCCCTCTTTACTTTGAAAGTAGCCTTGAAAAGAAGCCCATTTCAAAAACACGCCCATCCAAAGTTCGCAAAAAAAAAGCATCCCAAGGGCTTTAATTCAAGGTTTTACGGTATGAAATTTATCACTATCATTGGAGCAGTCACTCCATAGAGTTCATACCTACACCCTGTGCCTGAATACCGAAAAATATGCAAGCCTTGTATGATGACCGATTCCATGATTTTCCGCTCTGTGCCTGAATACCGAACAATGCTCAGGCTGTGTATGATGGGCCATTCCATTGTTTTCCTTATGTTTGCGTTAAAAAAATAGAATTTCGGTGTCCTTGAACTTGTCCTTTGACCTTTTCTTCCCGAAATTTAATCATCCTCTTTGAATATTTTGTACCATTCCACTAAATTTTATGATATCCATGCATTACTGTAGTTTCTGCGTAATCTTGCTAACAGACAGGCAGACAGACAGCGGTGCATATAAACTCCTTTAGCGGAGGTAATTATTATGCTATATGCTATTCCAGCTGCTATTACGTACAACAATGTTGACAGAAAGTTAAAAAAATATATAATAAAAAAAAGAAAAACTACCAAATTGATAATCATGCCACCAACGTCGAAATATCTTAGGCGGGATCGGTTAGTAACCCCACAAGGAAAGACTGAACCTCAACAGTAGCATTGCCTTAAGTAATGTTTGTTTTTGTGATGGAAATTTAAGATGTTCGGTTTCAAGGTAATGGTGGGGACTAATGCAAATCAATACACCAAGTTTAGATTTTCAGATAAATCACTGATTAATGACAAACACTGGATCCTGTAGGACTACTTAGCTAATACAATATAGGTCATCACATAAACAATATGAGGGATCTGAAAACGTTAATGATTTTTGGAGTGCAGCTGTGGTGTGGAAGTCACTGTAAGGTGCTTGCTTCTACTTCCTAAGGTCCTGGGTTTAAATCATATAGTAGTAAAATCTAAATTTTACATTCTATTTCATTATTACTTTTGACTTGATTACTTGATAAATTGTTTGTTTACATCAGATTAGAAGTTGTCAAGTATGAAGGCATCATGTTTACGAAAGTGCTGACTAAGGAACTTATAGGATCCAAGGGGTGGTGGAAGGGGTGCTCTCTAGTAGCAGCCAAAAAAGTTACTAACCAAGTGAAATCCTTAAGAAAAGAGATTGAAGTGGCAGAACTCTGAGACTTCCAGGGACTTCCTTGACCATTCAATAAATAGGTAAAGTGACACCTTAAATTAGAACCCTTTCTTAATACTTGATGGCCATTCTACCCTCCCCTCTTTCCAGATCATAGTCAAGAGATCTGTTTATTTGTAGAGGGAATGTTGCTCCAAGTAAAGAGAGATTCAATAATCATTTTATGTTATTTACAAATAACCAGTTCATCTATTGGTTTCTGTTTGTTTTCTGTAGGTGGTAATAATCAATTTCCAGGTATTGACTTATTCGTAGACTACCAACTCAATTGTGTATTTTTCTCTTACAACTGAGGCGAAGTTTAAGGGCTATGTTTGTATTGTATGTCTTCATTACAAGTTGTAGTAAAGTTTTGGCGCTGCACTTTAGCTAAGTCTCCAGAAACCGAGCAACAATTTCCAAGTTGTAGGAGGGTAAATGAACGTCTACACTGAGAAATCACATTGCCTTTTAAATGGACATAATATGATTGAGTATGTACCAGATAATGTGCATAAATAAAGTTTATATATATGACTGACCTATAATAAAGCATGTCGTGACCAACCTTTGGGAATTGTAGGCCTAGAATAATAATTTTGTAATGATTGTGTATTAATGTGTAGACTTAATGGAGAGGTGAGATAACTCATTATTAGTGTTTTAATGAAACAAACCAATAAATATTGCAATGAATTATGAAAAGATCATAGGACTGTTATAGGATTTGTTTATAAAGGATAACAATAAAGTGAGAGATAAGCCTCTGAACTGATTATAAATCATGAATTGGATAGAAACCAGATATGATATTTAAAATTGATTTCATTATTGTTTAGCTGACTCTGGTAACCTGGTAATTAAGACGAGCTTGCCTCCTTGTGTTATTGTAAGGTTCTGGTTTTTATCAAATCATCCTAAGGTTTGAATTATTTGCCCTTCTTTAAAAGCCGGGCTTCAGAGAAAAAAAAATGTTTATATGTTGTACAACTGATTTTTCTGAGACAAAAAAAACCCAAAAAACGCATATTTTGACGAAAAACTCGGGAACAGTTATGAGATACAGATTTTTGAATATTAAAAAACTGGGGTGAAAAGAGGCATAACCACCCTTTTTTCCCTCCAGAGCCTGACTTTAACTCCATTTTGTCAAGTCGTATAATAAGTATGATGTCATACAGGGGGTCCCAAGTTGGAGAAGTAATTTATGGGAGATCTGTTAAAAAAAAGTGCTTAGAATAGTACATCTAATTTTGTGTTGGTGTTACCAATTGACAGTGACTTCCATTAGAGAAATGATACTAAAGAGGTAATACAGTAGTAAAAACATGCCGGAGATGGGTTATTTTCCGGGAGATTCTTGTCGACCAGTTACGGGAGGTTGTCCCAATTTCTGGGAAACTGCCATGACTTGCAGGAGACTTTGCACCCCTGGTTATTATGACATTATCAAATCATATATTTCTGTTATATGACCTCATCTACCCCATGGGTGGTTATTATGACATCATCAAATACGTTGCTGTAATATGACCTCATCTACTCTACTCCATGGGTCAATCACAGATATTTGACACAGAAAATGTGATAGTGTGAATGGAACATAAATGTCATAAATATCACTTAAGTTAGGTTCACACTGCCCCAGTATTCAAAGCTAACCGTTAGCGCTACCTGTTAACACCCGTGTGAGAATGCCTGATCGGTTAGCGCTAGACCTTTACCAGGATCTGGATATGCTAACGGCTAAGGAGCACTATCGGTTAGCAAGTTGAGCGCGTTTCCATCATTAACCAATCACATGTACGCATTTTCAAATTCAAGTTTCCTATTGGCCAGTGATCCCACCCTCATCCTCTTGATATCTGGATCAGGGATTTTCTTGTATGAATGCAAGGGTTAACGTGTATGTTATTTATCTGGATCCTGCTAAAACCGTTAGCTGGTGTGTATGAACATAGCCTTAGTATCTTCCTGTTATTTGCTGATATGTTGTTGAATATAACAAAAGAAAATATGGATGATGATAAAATAATATTCCATGAATATATAATTTTATGGAGTTGAATAATGGGTCAAGATTAAATCGATGAGTAATTAATTGATCTGTGTGCTACTTATATAACTTCCAACTACTGTATACCACCTGTCATAAGCTAAAAAATAAAAATCAATTGGTTTTCTTTGTATATCAATAATAGATTTCGATGAAATATTATAATGAAAACAAAAATCTTTGATAGAATAATGGATACACTTTTTTTTAACAACACATTTTATAAGAACACAGATCCTGAAATTGCTTAAAATAGTTCAGAACAAAATAAGAACAGAGGATGAAGCAAAGTGTCAAATGAAATCAATCAATCAATCTATATTTTCCATCGTGAATAAAAACAACAAACATTTTTGGAGGTTTTTATTTTTTTTAAATTGAAAAAAAAAAATGTCTGTACCCTGATGTGCAATGTGGCTATTTAATTACCAACTGTATGGTACAGTAATATACTGCGGTACAATAATAATTTTCTATTTTTGTATGTACAATAAGAACAAAATAAGAACATTTTGAGCCTCAAATTGGCAAAATTATAAGGACAATGAGCACTACAGGTAGTCCTTATATATACTGTCTCTTATACACATCTAGATGTGTATAAGAGACAGGTTATATATATATATATATATATATATGTATATATATATATATATATATATCTTCATTCTTTTTCATAGACCCTTAACTTGGCTGGTAATCATTTTGAAAATTTGAGGAATCCCGTTGGATGTTGATTGTTTGTTCTAGTTAATTTTAGTATATGCAATTAATATTTTATATTAAAGTTTCTAAGGATTTTCAAGATTTATAGATAAACTTGAGTAAAAATACTACCTCCAAACAATTGTACAGGTATATTTGCAAACGATATGAACAATTTTACTCTCCATTATAATTTTATACTAGCATTTAATTAGCATAGAGTTATGTGATACTGTTGTTTATTATATTTTGATAGGATTTATATAGCGCCTGTATCTATTTCTGAAGGATCTGCCCAAGGCACTTTTTCGCCTAGTTATTGGATATATATAGAATCAATCACGCGAAATGTGCAAGATGCCTTACTCCCTGGGGAAGTATTCCATACTGCACATGAAATTTAGCACTACAAATTTCCATTGAGATCATTCATATGCTGCCAAGTACCTATTCCAGGCTGAAGAGAGGCAAACGTAGATCATAGAATTACTGAAGGACACAAGCAATTTGACTACCATCAGTCTCAAACTAAATACCTCTTTTTTAAAAGCTCAAAGCCTTAGGCGAGACTTTTTTTATACCTTTGTTACGCAAACTTATTTTTTAAAAGGTCGTCGGAGCAAATATGTTCCCCCCTTTTTCTGGAGGTTCCCCCTGCTCATTTTAAAATTTATACCCTAGTGACTCTAAATCAGCATAGAAACCTTGGTCCCCGAAAAAATTGTCATGGGGTCCCTGATTTTTACTATACTAGTTATTACTATTCAAAATAAAAATTGCCTTCTATCATTATAATAATGATTACAAGAGAATTCACGCCAAAGAGTGCATACCTCTGCCCTGTGCTTGAATACAGTACTGCAATGTGCAGGATGTTTATAATGGGCGAAAACTGCAGCCTACCCTCAAGAAAATAATGGAATCACCCGCCATATATTCAGGCACATGTTTCCTTGAGTACTGCCTGAATGCGAGGTACAATTCCATTATTTTAAAAAAAAAAAATTGAATTTTTGTGATCTTGACATTTGACTTTTTCTTGCAAAATTGAAAGGTGCCTTTTATTTATTAGTTTTTTCGTGATCTTGCTAAACAGTCAAAAAGTCAGACATACCGACAGACAGACGGCAGTGAATACAAAACCTCCTTGGGAAAGGTAATAAAGGTAGACTTGTAAAGAACATCATGCAAAAGCCTCTATGCCCTTCACATTATTACTAATATGCCTTAAGTCATGCCTCGGTCATTGAATTAAGCACCTATAGAACACTGCCCCCTGAGGGAATATTCGGTAATGTTGACATTCTAACCCTACCACGTACCCGCTTATACTCCTCAGGGTGGAGAGAAGCAATGCAGATAAAGTGTCTTGATCAAGGACACAAGCAGAATGCAAAGTGAGGGATTGAAATGCCCCGACATCGAGGTTAGAAAACCAAATCGATCTTTCTGCGACAAACCACTTCCGTCAAATTATATTGACTATGTACGTAACATTTGAACTTAATATTACTCAAGGCATATGATTTATCAATATCTTAAATAAAATTTATAAGATAAGTAATTATAACTGTATAGGCTTCTCGATGATGGGCCAATAGCATAATCTGTATTTCTATTTTTGGCCTCACTTTTTATTCTCTCCAGAGGTTTGGTTTCAGGGAATTTTCATTTTTTCTTCTCTGCAGCATCTTTACTGATAGTCATTTCGGAATATATCACATTTGCTTCATCTCTAATTCCCTTTCATTGATTAGAAAGTTGAATGTACGTAGCTAGGAGGTATCTGATGCACCTGGAAGGGTGAGAAAACTGAATCATTAAGCAGCATCGACCTGACGTAAACGCGTTCTAATCAGAGACTGGGAGATACAGTATTTTAATACGGCAGCCTCTCTGATTTAAAACAGCTTAAACCGCCCATATTTAAATGTTGGCTTTTACAACACTGGATATAGATTGTATTAGTACATTTGTGGTGATTAGTAATACTTTAACACACATATAATTGTAGAGGTGGTTTGGTACAGCGAGAAAAGTTTGGTTTCCCAACCTCGAGGTTGGGGTTTCAATCTCTTGCTGTACATTTTGCTTGTGTCCTGTGCGCAAGGCACTTTATCTGCGTTGCTTCTCTCCACCCAGGAGTATAAATGGGTACCTGGTGGGGTTGCCTGCTCTTGCCCTGATTACCAGCAGCAACACTTAAAGCATGTGGACCCAATGACCAGGGAAAAGAAACGCTTTGTATCTGCGAAGAAAAGGTGCTATATAAATGATATAAATAATAATAATAATAATAATTTGTAGACCTATTGTGTTTCTCATCACTAAAATTCAGACCATATTCTGATTAGGTACCTCATGATCATAATAATAGACTTATATACAGTATTTGAGACAGCACATACCAACCAATGCATTTAGTAGCGAAACATAAGGCCCAATAAAAAAAATGATTAATTTATCATCCCTGCCCGCTTGTCTACTATGGTATTGAAAAAACAAATTTTAGAAAAATTTTTTTTTTTAGTAAATACAGTAATTAGTAGATATTGTTTGTATTATCTCAATCATGTAATTTACTTTGAATATCAATGCACTGGTGCAAACAACTCAATGGTAATATTTTGCTTTAAATAGCAAAAAAAAAAATAAATAAATAAAAAGCCTCCCTCCATCATCACTTTTCCAGCCATGATAGGATGATAAACTAATAATTTGTTTTGTATTGGGCCTAAATGTACAATTAGCGCTACTATCTAGTTAGTCCTGTACTCCTATTAATCAAAACTCATGAATTCTTCACCATGTTTCAGAATATGCCTATGCATACTTTTAAGTCTGAATCATGACACACAATACACTAGAAGCTAGAAACATCTTTGGTATCCCTAACTGGGTATACATTACATACACTTTTCTCATTGACCAAAGGAGGCTACAATTATTACCAATACAAATTAGCTTCA